TAATAAATTAGTTCTAACTTTACTGTATATTACAGTATATATTGTATATATATATATATATATATATTATGTAAAAATCCCATTTAGCCGTTTTGTGCTTTTAATTAAAAACTTTTACTCCTTATAATTAATGATTGTTTATTGATAATTATATATATATATATGAAATGAATAATAGTCTAGTCTATAGATTTTTTTTGTTGTTATCCCTAAACAACAAAAAAGTAACAGTTTTTCTATAGAAAACATATTATCATTGAAAATACAAAATATAATAATAATAAAACAAAAGTCGCTTTTCATTTATAATTTTGACAATATGTTTAAAAAATATATAAAAAAATTTATATAATAAAACTTTTTACACTAATTTATATATATTTATATATATATATATACTTATATAAGCTGTCAATCAAAATTGTATTAAATTGTAAAAAAAATAATATATTTCCTAACAATATATATATACAATATAATTAATATATTTTGTGACAGTTTTATACTAACCAAAAAAAATTTACAAATAAAATAATTCAACTATTTTTTTGATAGTAAATAAAATATTTATTTTTTTACTGTTAAAAAAATAATAATCCTATATTTTTTTTAATCCAGCTATAACAATAGATAATAATAATAAATGTAGACAACAACAAAAATTGTTATAGCATTTAGTTATTAATGGAAACTTAACTTTTGGTTATTTATTTAATTTTATTATAATTATTGGAAATATAATTATTGTTTTTTTTAATACTTTTTTTTAAAAATATATTTTTTTCAAAAATCGAAAAAATTGATTAAATACAATATATATGACTAATTAGTATATATATATATAATCAGCCAAATCAATGGGTGCTATACTTATACTATACTATATATATATATATATATATATATCAATATTACATACCTTTCCTGGCGTGTCGTTCGGGCAGTTGAGCGGTCCGGGCATTGATGGCAATTGAATCGCTTTTGCCCTTTGAATTGAAGGCATAGACGTTGAGTGTAAACCCGGTGGCCGGCGGCAGGTCTCTGATGTTGAACACTGGCAGGTCATAGGCTGTCAAATTGGTGTGCAATTGGCGTCTGTCGTTATTGTAGACTTGTAGGTGAAATGTTTGCCGTAGGCCACCATTATCTCCCGGTTCGCAATGTACGAGTAGTGTACTGAGTGTCACATTTGTTACATAACAGTCGTTAACTGGATTTGGAGGACCTGTCAGAAACAATTTATATATATATATATATATATATAGAGTATATATATATTGTTATTGTTGTTCATATCGTAAGATAGAGAGAGAGAGAGAGAGAGAGAGAGAGAGAGAGAGAGAGAAAGCTTAGGTAGTTTTTTTTGAGAGATATAGAGAGAGAGGAAAATAAAAAGATTGTCATAAAATAAGACTACATGTGCCCATCAAACTACTTCATGTCCGATAGTATATGGACTACCAGTCAGTGTATTAGTACTTATATTATATAAACGGATAAATCATGTCAATTGAAACTAAAGTCAAAACTAGTTTATATAAATAGTTTTGCAAACTATTTATATATATATATATAATATTTAGTATTAAATACTACTGTTTATATATACAGTACATAACTATATATCCAAATATCCCTTATTTGATTGACACTCATAGTCCTCTCTCTCTCTCTCTCTCTCTCTCTCTCTCTCTCTCTCTCTCTCTCTCTCTCTCTCTCTATTATCCCATTCCTGTCCTATCTTATCAATTACACTGTTGAATAGGGGGGGATGGGAGTGGGATATTATTGACTTATTGACTATATGTTTAATAGTAGTAGTAATAATAATAATACTACTACTACTATGATATATTGTCATATAAAAAATCGATATATATATATTTATATAGTTTTATTGCAATAAAATAAAAACAAATTTAATGGTCATAACTGTATATAGAAATAAATAAATAACAAACAAAAAAACATCTGAATCACTTTTATTTTATATGTATAAATAAAACAATATATATTGATATATATATATACACTATATATTAATATATATAAATAAAAATATAAAAACTTTTTTACCCTAACATTTTGTTTATGTTGTTATTTGTTTAGCATATTATATATATATATTGAATATATATATATAGTATAACGTAACTGAAGTTGTCATTTGAATTTGACAATACATACAGAATATATATATATAATATATTTATATATATACTGTATATATATATATATAGTAAATCTATTATATCAATAGTAAATTTGATGATATTATTGTTTATAATAATAATATATTATATAAACAAAATAAAATTGGATATTATTTGTGTGCAAATAAGTAATGATGAATCTCTAGTGCATCACTTATATGCATCAATTTTCATCAATAAAATAATGCTTGAATTATAAACATATATATATATATATATATATATATTATATCATTATATATATATATATATATATATTATATCATTATATATATATATATATTATATCATTGTATATATATATATATATATATATATATATATAAATCTAATATCATTTTTTGTTTGTTGCATTCAATAATACCATTTGTTTTATTTATTTTGCATTTATATATTGTGTAAACCCCCAGATAAAAAAGTGTCACAAATTTTTTTTTGCTATTATTTTTTTTAGACAAATAAATATTTGAAGACAATTATAAATAATATATTTAATAAAATAATATTTTTAAAAATATATATTCATATAAATATAATAAATAATTAGTTTAAAAAATAACAGATTTAATACCAATACTATTATGCTATTATTATTAATAATAATATTAATATATATATATAAAAACAGTGACCAATAAATGGTTATATATTTTTTTTTTTAAAATTTATATTTAAATATATATACAAAATTAATTGGTGTCGACAATTGATATTATTTTTTGTTTATTTTTTGTTGTTGAATATTTAATTTTCATATTATAATAATAAATAACTAGATTTTTTTTAATAATATTATTATTTATCATTATTATTATTATTTTTATATAATATCATTAAGTTATTAAACTATTAATCAAAGTCAACACAACAATCAACTAAATGAAAATATTATTATTTTTTTTATATAATTTATTTGTTTGTTTTTCTGCTTATATTATATATTTCTAGCCATTTGATTAAAAACAAGCAAATATTAAGCACAATATTATTAATGATTTAAGTATTTATTAATTGTGTGTAAATTTTATAAATGCATTTATAATGTATTCAACTCAAGTAAATACTGTACTTTATATATAAGTTAAGCAAAATAATAATAATAATAATACTTTAGTAATAATGTATTTAATCTATTGTATTATAAATGAATTTAGCTAAACATTGTGTATGTGTGTGTGTGTGTGTGTGTGTGTGTGTGTGTGTGTTGGCTACTAATGTTATTTTATAGTATAGCAAAACAAACAAACAAAATATACTGTAATATCATCACATTATTTATATAATTTATAAGTAATATTTCAATATATCATATATATATTTTTTCATATATATATATATATATATACAGTAGTATATCATTACCGGTGAGTTATATAACATATTTTTGTTTATAAATATTTTGTTTGTGCTAAAACTTAGCTAAATATAATGATTATAATAACAATTTATATTATAGTATTATGTTATATATATATATATATATATATATATTAATACTATTTAGTTTTTATTTGTATATTTCATAATAATATTATCAATAAAATTTTTGCTAAAATTTTTTTAGTAGTACTTTCCATAATAAGCAAAAAAATAATTGAAAATTATTTTTTTTATAAATATTTATTTATAAATAAATAAATCATTTAGAAATAGATTGTCTTTTTTTAAAAAAAACTATTAATAATAAACACAATATATTAATTTATTATATAATTATATTATTTATATAATTAAATTTCTAAATCATAAAATTGCAAATTTTTGTCAAATTTATATATATATCATTTTCATCTCATTAAAAATTTTTAACATTAACTTTGATTATAAAAATTAAATTGAAAATTATATGGAAATTAAATAAAAAAAATATATATATACTGTAGATATATATTATAGTAATTATATAAAAATATGTTTCTAATTAAACATAAATTTGAATATATTTTATGTATTCAACTAAAAAAAATTACAATATATTTATATTAAATACATACTTAAAAATATATTGTTTAATATATTATATAATATATACTTAACTGTATAATGTAATTATATATATATATATATATATATATATATTATATAATTTTGCCATTAAAGCACACACTAAAAAACATTTATATTATAAATTATAAACACATTTAATGCATTAGTAAAACACTATTAGTAAAAACCATTTTCTCATTTAATATACAGTATATATTAATATTGTATATAATATAATAATAATAATAACTAAAAGGTATTATTAAATTGCAATTGATATGTGAAATAAATAGCAAATTGTTTGACACCCAAAAACAATAATAATAATAATAATAATATTAAATGAGTTGTAACCAAAAAAAATAAATCAATTATTTGTATCCAACAAATAGTTAGATACTTTATTTATTTTTTTTGGTATTTAATTAATTATATTATTGCAATACAACAATAGCAACAAAATAATAAAAAAAAATACATTACATTAATTTTTTTTGTTATTATTTTTTTATGGTATTTTTTTGGCCAACAAATTATTGTTAATCAACAATTTATTAATATTATTGTTAATAATAATAATAATAAGCACAATAATAATTTTAATTTAAATTAAAAATTTAATAGAAATATAATTTAGTAAAAAATTAATATAATATATATACAGTATATACTCTATAATAAATAATACATATATAAATAAAATAATAATTATATATATATATAACAAAAAAAACTAATTAATAAATTATTACTATAACTTAAAAATTGTTAGTAAAATATTAAATATTAAATAATAATAATTTTAATTTAAATTAAAAGTTAATAGAAATATAATTTAGTAAAAAATTAATATAATATATATATATATATATATATACAGTATATACTCTATAATAAATAATACATTTATAAACAAAATAATAATTATAAATATAATTATAACAAAAAAAACTAATTAATAAATTATTACTATAAATAAAAATTGTTAGTAAAATATTAAATATTAAATAATAATAAACATAATAATTACACTAAAATTAAACCCCACCCTCACTACTTCAACCCCCACCACACACACACACCCACCCATAAAAAAAATTATAATTAAATTAATTAATTGTTTCGCTAACTAATTATAAATAAATAAATAAATTAATTATAACTTACCGGCAGCCACTATATTGTAGGCGCAGGGCTCTTTTTGTTTGCCAATCTGATTGGATGCCCAACAATAGACGGTACCGTAGTTGGCCCGACCGTGCGGTACATAAGCGGCCACACTGTGCGACCCGTTTATCCGGTAGTCTTTCAGTTCAAATTTATCCACTGAATTGTTGAACAGCCATCGAAATCCCAGATCAATGTCGGGTTCGGCATCAACTTGACAGGTGATGTTGACTTTTTCGTTACGGGCCACACCATAGATTAGGGTCTGTCCTGGTTTGCATACCGGTGCAACTGATATATATATATATATATATATATATGTATGTATGTATGGAAAATCAAATTAGATATTGTTTACAGTATTAACAACTATTGTATTAACAACTAATGTATTGTTATATATTATTTTTTTTTAAAAAAAAATTAATCATGGTGATATAACATAGATAGATTTTTTAAAAAAAAAACTTTTTCTAGAAATTTCTATTATTTTTATAAATTTCTCTCTCATTTTTTTTTTGCCAACACTACACACCCTACCCTATCAATTGTGTAGTGTTGGCAAAAAAAATGAGAGAGAAATTTATAAAAAATAATAGAAATTTTCTAGAAAGTTTTTTTTTAAAAAAATAATATTCTATCTATGTTATATCCCCATGATTAATTTTTTTTAATAATATATAACAATACATTACCGTAAATATTATTATTTAATATTTTAATTATTAATTAAAAAGTAAAAACTTATAATATATATATAATTGAATACAATATTATAAAACTAATATTTGTATTCAATTCATATACAATTATTTTATATACTGTATAGGTTATACCGTTTGTATATCATTGTACTAATTTAGTATAGTATAGTATAATATTATATCTTATTATAATATAGTATTACAATAACTATAGATATGGGGATCCCCCCCACCCCCCCACCCCCATAGTATAACAATTTAAGTTAAATTTCTATAGAAATTTATTCATGAGAAACTTTCTAGAAACTTTCTATTTGCCCATCTCTAGGTGCAACTGATATACTGTATATATATATACTGTATGTATATATACTGTATGTATGGATTATAATAGATATTGTTTACAGTATTAACAATTGATAGGATAGTGTGTGTGTGTGTGTGTGTGTGTGTGTGTGTGTGTGTACGGTAGGTATCGGTATATATATATACTTACAGTTGACTTTCAGAAACAGTTTATTACTGGCCGACTGTCCCTCGACATTGGTAGCCGTACACTGATAGCGGCCCCGGTGTTCACGTTTGACTTTTTGCAAAACTAGGGACTGATTGCTAACAATAATACCGTTTGCGGTATCGCTATAGAGTGGCCGACCCTCGAAAAGCCAGCCAACATCGATGACCCACGGGTTTGATCGGACCGTACACTCAAAGTAGACGTCACTGCCCTCACGTATTTGGCTGCCAATGTTGGCACCCATAGCCAGTGTCACTTGAGGCACATCTATATATAAAATATATCACATAATAATAAATTTATTATTAATCGATATATATATATATACTATAAGTTATATAACGGATATTAAATAGTATATATTATATTTCCTTTTAATTATAACATTAGTATTAATGGGATATAACTCTATAGTTTTTATTGTTGTCTCAGTTAGTATATACTGTATATACTATATATATATATATATATATATATATTAAATCTCTCATTCAAGTAACTGATTCATCCAATTATTTATATTGTATGACACATCAAGTTTTAATACCCGGGATATAATTTGTTACTTATATTTATTTGTCTTATTTATAGTACACACAGTAGTAGACATTTATTTAGTATATACAGTATATAACTACTTATATTAGATATTATTGTTGTTTAATATATAAATTTTTATAAAAATATATTTTTATGCCTTCAAGTAATTAATATAATCAAAAATAAAATAATGACACTTTTAAAAAAAAATAATAATTTAAATAATATTAATTTATGTGTGAGTTTTGCGACAAAATAATAATTTAGATTTTTCAATTAAGTGGATAACTAAACCAAAATATAAAATTATTTTTAATAATTTATTTTTGTACTAGAAAACAAAATTAAATTATTTAAACTATAAAATCTAAAT